AAAATTCCCAAAACAATTCCCAAAAATCCAATCCCAAATTCCCCCAAAAATTCCCCAAAAAATTCCCAAAAATCCAATCCCAGATTCCCAAATTCCCAAAAATCCAATCCCAGATTCCCAGAATCCCAGATATCCAATCCCAGATTCCCAAATTTCCCAATCCCAGATTCCCAAAAAAAATCACAAATCCAAAAAAATCCCAACCTGAATTCCTAAAAAACTCCCCAAAAAATTCCAAAATTCCCAATTCCAGATTCCCAAATTCCCAAAAAAATCACAAATGAAAAAAAAATCTGATCCTGGATTCCCAAAAATTCCCAGAAAAATTCCCAAAAATCCAATCCCAGATTCCCAAAATTCCCAAAAATCCAATCCCAAATTCCCAAAATTCCCAAAAATCCAATCCCAAATTCCCAAATTCCCAAAAATCCAATCCAAGATTCCCAAAAATCCAATTCCAGATTCTCAAAATCCCAAATTTCCAATCCCAGATTCCCAAAAAAACACAAATCAAAAAAATCCCATCCTGAATTCCCAAAAATTCCCAAAAAAATCCCAAAAATTCCCCAAAAAAATCCCAAAAATCCAATCCCAAATTCCCCAATTCCCAAAAATCCAATCCCAGATTCCCAGATTCCCAAAAATCCAATCCCAGATTCCCAAAATTCCCAAAAATCCAATCCCAGATTCCCAAATTCCCAAAAATCCAATCCCAGATTCCCAAATTCCCAAAAATCCAATCCCAGATTCCCAAAAATCCAATCCCAGATTCCCAAATTCCCAAAAATCCAATCCCAGATTCCCAGAATCCCAGATATCCAATCCCAGATTCCCAAATTTCCCAATCCCAGATTCCCAAAAAAAATCACAAATCCAAAAAAATCCCAACCTGAATTCCTAAAAAACTCCCCAAAAAATTCCAAAATTCCCAATTCCAGATTCCCAAATTCCCAAAAAAATCACAAATGAAAAAAAAATCTGATCCTGGATTCCCAAAAATTCCCAGAAAAATTCCCAAAAATCCAATCCCAGATTCCCAAAATTCCAAATTTCCCAATCCCAGATTCCCAAAAATCCAATCCCAAATTCCCAAATTCCCAAAAATCCAATCCCAGATTCCCAAAA